ACAGATTAGATTCGACGATTTTAGACGCCTTCTTTTTTCTGATAACCAATGTAATGACCGTGTTTAGTAAATTTGCTGCTTTATTTAGACACGAATGGACATAATCGTTAGGTATTTCGTCAGGAGAAGAGGAAAAAACCTCGCTGATAAAACGCGATCGCCTAAAAACAGGCAAACCTGCGACAGTGAAGTAAGCAGATCTGGCGTCTCCTAGCTTTGTTGACTTCTATCAACGAACAGAAATGGCTGACATTCTTTTCGAAACATCATTGCTAGGATTGTTCAATTTTATTTCGTGATTGTGTATCATAGATATGTTTTATTGCTTAATTATGAAGCTTTTATTCGAATAAAAAAAGGTAGGCGAATAATTTCTTGTTTGTGCAAGTATTTGCGTTAGTTAATCTTCTGTTGCTCGAGTGATTTCTTTTTCTATACAACTGATGTGAAAATAACTACGTCAAACTTCTTCTAAACATAAGAGTTGCTTTTAAGAGGATATTCTTCTTTCACATTATCAATGATCTTTGTATTTTACTCATCTTTTAACTAGAACTTGTTTTAGTTAGCTCTTTAGTTTCTTTTATTAATTTATTCTTTATTTCCTCCTGAAAAACTAACATTAGTTGTCAAATGATTTTTAGTACCAACAAAATTTAAGCAGCAAATGTTTAATATATCCTCTTTAAATAAATATGACAATTATTCATTAAGGTAAAGGTACCAGTAGTTGACCAGTTTTTAGCAAAACGTAAAAAATAAGGTTTTTATAAGTGATTCTCTTTTGAAAAAAATGCACCTGACATGTCAAGACATCTATCGATTAAATTTCAAAAGAATTACATGTGAAATGAAGTACGCGTAGTAACAACGGACGTCTAAATTCATTAAGGTAAGTAATACGCCTCTATATTGCTATTTCCTTAACGTTTCTGTTAAGAACAGCTGTACGATTCAGGTAAACAAATCCATACGTTGAGAACTCTTCGTGACTGAATTATTTACTTATTAAATTCTCACAGCGTTTTCTAAGTGATAAATGCAACGTTTTTGTTATTCTAACCACAAAAAACAATAGTTTATTGGGGGGTCAAATTCTGAATCTTGTTATTCTAAGAGTTTTAGAAGTTGACCGGGGTGGTCAATTACTGACGTGAGTTATTTAAATTTGTTTACGATTTATAATGTATCCATTTTGCATTTAACTTTGTTAGAAGTACAAAATATAGTTTTAAATTTTCTAGCATACTGCGTTTTAACGTTTTCTAAGTGATAAATGCAACGTTTTTGTTATTCTAACCACAAAAAGCAATAGTTTATTGGGGGGTCAAATTCTGAATCTTGTTATTCTAATAGTTTTAGAAGTTGACCGGGGTGGTCAATTACTGACGTGAGTTATTTAAATTTGTTTACGATTTATAATGTATCCATTTTGCATTTAACTTTGTTAGAAGTACAAAATATAGTTCTAAATTTTGTAGCATACTGCGTTTTAGTGGATGACCGCATGGTCAACTATTGACTGATCCACGGTCAATTATTGACTCCGTCCAGTGTCCACTTTTTTAAAATAACCATGTGCGTGATATTATAAACACCACCGGAAAATTAAAATGCATTTACTTAATTATTTATTTTAGAAATTTATTTATTTATTTAAAAAAATTTTTTTTTATTTATTTTTATTTTTATTTCATCCATGGAAATGTACAGGCGATTATGGAAGTGGCCAAAAAATTGGTATTGTTACATAATCTAGAAGGCTTGAAGAGTATCTTCAGGCATCGACTCTCGCTATTTAATCACAGAGCAAGTGGTTACTATTGTTCGTGTGGAGGATTTCTCTTAACTGGTCAACTACTGGTACCTTTACCTTATGTTCTGCTGTAAAATTTAAAACACTTCAGTCAGAATATAATTACGACCATTGCATTCAAATATAAATTCCTTCTACTAATGCACCAACAAGTAAGATAATAACGAATTATTTCTCCCACGTTTGTCCATACGTAATTAATTTTCACTATTAAAAAAGTTTAATATATTCTCTTTAAATAAATACTACAATTATTCAATATGCTCTGTTGTAAAATTCAAAACACTTCAGCCAGAGTATATAATAGTTACGATCATTTCATTCAAATATAAATTCACTGTAATGCACCGACAGGAAAATTGGACGAATTAAAATAGTCCATTAGTAACAATGACAAACTAGTAAGGTAATGTTTAATTATTTCACTTACGTTTTGTCCATAGACAGGGCTAATGATGAATACGACCAATTCGAACACTCCGAAGACCAATCCATACTCCGATGCTGTGGCACCTTTCATCGAGGCCTATAAACAAAAAAGACGTGAAAATTTTCGACAATGTTCGATCCAAGTGAAGCAAGAATCCTTGGTCTTACGCCTTGGATTGGAGATGTTAGACGATTCCGTGTTATTATTACGCATTTCGACGCATTATCGCGCGTTCGACTGCAATTAACACTGGTCGTGATAAATCCCGATAAACTTTAGACAGTTCACGCGGCGAAGACTCACGAACGTGGATAGGGAACGGTACTCGAGATTTCAGAATGCGAGAAAAATTTCTGTCACTGGAACTTTGGTGGTGGTTTCCTTACAGAAGATAACTGGGATGAAATTATTATTTTTCTATTTACTATGTACAGCGTTTTGTTTTTCATTTTTCTTCTTTTATTGCAAACTTTACGTTGCATCTACTGCTAAGTCATTAGCGATAAATTTAAATCGACTTTTTTTACGATTTTGGTATTTAGATTTTTTAGAAAAGTTTCTTTTGTGTACTTTTGTAATATCAGAGCCACGTCTGGACTCAGTTTATACTTCTGCGTTAAGCTCGAAATCCTCTGCACTCGTAGAGTGTATGATTTATCGATATTATGTGGATGCAGAGGTTACAGAAAGATAGTTTCATTTTCATTATTAAGCTAATTAAATTATTTTGAAATGGCCACTTCTAAAGCTGCGTTTACACTACGTGTACTGGGCGAGCCATGTAAAACAGACCACCTAATTATCTTCTCTAGTGAGAAAATTTTCATGCGTAATTTAAATAGTTTCAAGATGAAAGGAAAATTTTTTTATGTTGCATTAGATATTGATGTGCATTTAATCTTTTGCACTCGAACATATAGGGAAGCAGTAAATCTTGCTACTTGTTTATACTAAAAAATTAATATTTATTGCTTTCAAAATTGATGTATAGTATTTGCTAACAAATTGATGAAATTTTTTAGAATTAACACAGATATAAATCGTACATATGTTGACAAATATTAGTATTTTATTTAAATATTTAATGTATTTTTATATTATACAAGATCTTGTAATATTTCATTAGAAGTTGGTTGTTTCAAACTATTTCATTGCTTAGCCATTAATGGGAGGCCCGTAGACCTGTTGTTCTGTAAAATATTACCTATAAGAGAGTCTCGATTAATTATTTACCAACTAGTAAGCAATAATGTCGCTTCTCAATCGCCACTCGAATCCAAAGGGTTAAACGTACAACTGTATAACAAGTTATATAGCGAAGTTATAAAGCTTGTTAGAAAAAGAGAAAGAAATGTAATATTACGTTAAGTAACTTTTTTTTTGTTATCCATCAAGTGTCGGTAAAGATCAAAGATAGTTGCAAAACATTGTTATGCGACGTGTTGCCAGTTAGTCCAAACCAGTATGATACGGTTACCAGACTTTTTCCATGTATTGAATGCAAGCGATTCGGCATCTCAGTCTAGTTGTTACATACCTTTCACCAGCAAACATTCATTCATTGTTTGATATTGTTTTTTACAATTATAAAAGGGAATGGACGAAAGAAGGAATCGCTCGTTTAATTAAACTGTTACGAGAGAAACGTATCTTATGGGGCACTATGTCTACGAACTTTAAAGACAGAAATAAGAAGCATCATGTGTGGGCTGAATTAGGTGTTGGCATGGAGATGGATTCAACCGAAATAGAAAAAAAATTCGAATGTCGATTGGACTGTTTCAGAGAGAGTTGAGAAAAGGAAAAAATAAAAACTTGGTACAGACTTGTTACTATAGTACCAAAAGGCAGAGGCGTATCTAGGGTGGGGCAAGTAGGGCACATGTCCTGGTTGCGCCAATGTCAGGGGGCGCAAGAAAGCCGAAAGAAATAGTGTTTCTTGAATAAATTTATTTTTAGGTTAGTAGTTTACGCTTGTCGTTCATGTGCTTCGCATGACTCGTTAACACTAGGTTTACGGACATTTCTTATATACCTACTGTTCGTTCAAAATAAGAGTAACCTCGCTCTCGGATCGATTTTCGTCCGTTCTGCGCATAGACAGAGAGCGTAGCAGAGGGTAAGACGGAGAAGAACGTAGGCAGTTAAGTGGGGGTCTGGACGTTCTAACCCTGCCTTAGGCACGTCCCATGCGCGAAACGAGGTTATTCTTATTTTGAACGAAGAGTATCTCTACGGATACGTGTAAAAAACAACTTATTTCATTTAAAAAACAGCATATTATACACTATTAACTTATAAATGAAACTATGTGATATTATATATTTACATAAAATTTGTAATAAGCATAAATGGTAGGAGAGAAATGTAAACAGTTTCTGTAGTTGCCCTTGTGAAATTCGAAATGCGTCAAAATGACGCGACCCGTAAACCTAGTGTTTATCGCTTTTCTCCAGAGTCCAAATCGTGTTTAACGAAGAAGTTGAAAAAAAGGTGCAACTGGAATGATATGCATGCGAGGGGCAAATTTTGCGCTTGCTCTAGGCCAGTGGTCTTCACCCGGCGCCGGTCCGCAAGAATTTGCTAAATATTTGCTATGTCAGTAATAAAAACCAAACAGAGATATCAAATGGATGTTAATGCAGCGCTTCGTCTCTTAGAAACAACGCTGCAACCAGGTATATCAAATTTGCTTACAAAGAAGCAGCAGCAGATGTCGCACTAACGAAAAATTGTAATTTTATAACATTACATTTAATAAATAAAATTCTATCTACATTGGTTTTCATTTCTGGCTGACGCCGGTCCGCGAAATATTTCTCCTATTTTCACCGGGCCGCGGGTGTTAAAAGGTTGAAGAACACTGCCCTAGGCGCTGTTAGTTATATAGATACGCCCCTGGCAAAAGGTATAGTCTTAACAAGGTTATAAAGCAATTTGTTTTATAACACTGTTTTGTTATATAGTGTAGACGCAGCTTAAGTCTGGTCATAATCCTCTTTTCTTTCCTGCTCATGTAGTGTTTTGTTCACGAGGTAGAATATAAGAGAATTATTTGAGTATTAAGCATTGATAGATCCTGTTTTATTTATGTACAAGACGAGTGTAGGATAAATGTGTGGAAATGAAATTTAGATTGAGATTCTCGTTGAAATGAATATTGTATTAACAATTCGTTAAAAGAATGCTCTCTTCAGATTAACACGAAGAGTTATAATTGAATTACAAGTTTTACCAGAGTATTAAATCTAAGTTGAAAAGTCACATAAAAATACTTAATTATGGAAAAATATCAACATAGGTTGAATTCTTGACGCTCTAACTTTCTTTTCCATATACTTTGCATGAGCATGAATCGAAGAATAACTTTTCTCGTTTAATGAAAGTGTTAAGTGTAGTTTTTGTGATACATGAATGCTTAATGTTGAAAAGCAGAAAAGTCGACGGCAAATAACTCGTGAATTTTCTATCGATCTTTCGTATAATACTCCAGCATTAAATGACCACTAAATTAAACTTAATTTACATGAAAATTAAATCTGTAAGAAGCATATATTATTCTTAATTTCAAAGTTAAAAATAGTGTCAAACGCAAAGCAGCATAATTGAATTAACGTTAACAAGAAAATTCTTCATGCCGATCTACGTAGCTAGTAATTTAATTGCCACAAGATAAGAGAAATGGTTTTCAATGAATGTCGGACAAATTTCATCAAGGTCGTAGAATCTGACGAAACTTCTTGGTTCGTTTGCCTTTTAATCGAGATATTTTTCCTCCATTTCGATGGATAATCGGTTGTTTTACACATGTAATTATATACTGGCCCATAGACAAATTATGCTAAATTGCGACAACAGTGTAATCAAATGATAAAATTTATCGTGGCTGATTTGAAACTTTCGTCTGCGATGTATTCTGCGCGTTTTAACACGAGACAAAGTGATAATGATAGGTCTCTACAGCTCCTAATGAGCGCGTGTTTTGTGACCCAGGACGAATCGTATTTACTGTTTCGATTAGAGATACAAGAAGAAAGTGATAGAAGAGAGGATTCTGATTTGAAATTAATTGAATAGGTGAAAAGATGAAGGAAAAAATTCCACTGGATCTTATTTTCGGGAAATCGAAGAAACCGATCGACAGTCAAAAAAGTCTCCGTATACATTAGAATTTACTTAGCGTTGTATAATTTTAAAGGAGAAAGTAGCAAATAAAAAATATTTACGGTATTTCATTTAGAAACATAACATTCACTATTAGTACAAAGAAAAATAATTTACATTAATTTGTTAATAATTAAACAAACAAAAATGAATACAAACAGATACTTTTCATTATGGGAAAAATATTTTGAGTAATGTCTTTTCTATTTGCTTGTGAACAGGAAACTAACTTGTATTTGCCTTTGAAGCCTTGTTTGTAGACACTTTGCTGAGTTCTTAGATACTGTACGGAAATTTTTTTTCCTTAGTTTAATTGTTAACAAATGAATGTAAATCATTTTTCTCTGTACTAATAGAAAATGTTATATGTCTAAATTAAGTAACTTAAATATTATTTACTTGCTACCTTCTCTGTTAAAACGATACAACGCTAAATAAATTCTAATGAGATATGCGAAGACATTTTTGACCCAGTGAGTGTAGTTATTTAATTACTAAAATTATTTTAAAATTGGCTAACTTCGTAATATAATAGAAAAATTTCATTTTTAATCATTTGTTACGTACGCAGTCTAGCCGACACGGCGGCGCCGAGACATCCGCCTAGAGCTCACCCCCTTGAGATAAAGTAAACGAACGCGTTTCGTTCTCATGGCAAAATTAGGGCCCCCATCACCCAAAAAATACAGATTTTTGGATATATAAGGGCATGATTTCCGAGGCTCTGGGGCAGTCACAGTTCAGAGTTACCCTGAACTTTAAAGTAGAGCAGTATCTGTATAGTCGTCGTTTGATACAAGCAAGATCGGGCTCAAATCCTTTTCAAGCAACCAAGTATAATACTAAACTCGTAAGTGTAATGTCGAGAAGGAAGATTTTTGCTCAGCCAAGAATCAACCATTATAATTTAT